TTCCCAATTCTTGTCATTCACTCCATTGGACGGTCTCTTCAGTAGATTATCACTAATGGAGTTGTGGTCAGCCTTTCCACCAAAATGTGCCGGAATTCTGTCAATAAATTAAAATATTAAGAATATTACAAAATATTATATAGTTTTTATTTTTAAAATGAGTATTACTTTGAAATCATATTATTAGCGATTGTTTCCAAATCATCGTTAGGTTTGGCTGACACCAGGACTAAGGCTGACACCAATGCTATCCATATCTTAACCATTTTTATTAGTTATCAAAAATACTGAATTCCTTTACTAATAATTTAAATAATTATAGAAATTATATTTTTTTCTGAATTGTTTTAAATATAAAGTCTCTTTATATATACTTTTGATTGCAATGAAAATGATGGGAAATATGAGTCTTAAGATAAGTGTTAAGTAATAGGTTTGAAATTTTTAAACACAAATGAAGTAAAATCACGTCAAACTATTTGTTGACTTATACTATAATAATATACTTGTTTTTTCTCAGATTTGTTTTGATATGAATTTTTGGTACAATTCGCACCGAAAATATAATTTACCAAGTTCATAACTTTGAAAACAAAGAATTATTGCAAATATTGTTTGTAATCATTATTCAATAAAAGTAATAAATGTTATTATTTGTCACAAGTATTAAGACATATATGGCTTTCAAAGATAAACCCAAAGCACTCGTCTTTTATCAGTTTCTTAATAACAATCCATTTATGAAATCGTTTATCAAAACAATTAGTCATTAAATAAGTGATAAAAGTGTTACGTTTTACTCGATTCTTAGGTATAAATAGAGACACAATTTGTATGAAATAATTGAAAATCATTGAATAAATTGAATTAAATATTGATAATTGAGTCAAATATCAAGAATTGTTTGAAAATGTCTTCACTTTTCTATATTTTGGTTGTTCTGAGCGTCTGTTCAGTTGTAGTGATCGGTGAAACAGATTTACAAAATTTTGCCCAAAATCTGATTCAATTGTATGTTATTTCTTACATATTTTATATTGTTTTTATCCATTCATTCATTCATTCATTCATTCATTCATTCATTCATTCATTCATTCATTCATTCATTTTATTACTTATAGACTCAATCCAAACGGCGCTGACTCTCAGCCCAACGGACTTCTTCTACAATTAACTAATGGTTTGTTTGAATGAATCAATCGTTTGATTATTAGTTATATTGAATGCATTTAATCTGAAAACAGGTGAACACTTGGCGTTGAAGTCATTCATTGGAGACAAC